ATAGAGAACATAGAGAACATAGATACATAGATACATAGATACATAGATACATAGATACATAGATACATAGATACATTGACACGGCTGGGGGGGTCCACTTTTCCGGGGGGGGGGGGGGGGTGGTGGGGGCGAAGACACAATTGCGAAGACAGAATTTGGGGCGGAAAATAGTTGCAGCCGAACATGGTGCGAAACCGAAAATGGGAGCGAGGACAAAATTCAAGGCCGAGATTCGCAAAGCCGAAATCGGGGGCGAAGCCGAACATGGGAGCGAAGACGAAAATTCGAAGCCGAAATTCGTGAAGCGGAAAGTGGTATGGCAACCTACTTGCATGGCAATGTTTGGTACGTACCCATGCCTATATTTGAAAGCTTTGGGCAAGCATCAAGGAACAGATCCAGTTGGGTGCGACCTGTTTTTGTTGAACCCCCGTTTGAATGGTTTTAAGGGGACCCCCACCATTTTGTAAGTTCCCGAACGTTAAGAGCCCCCCATCCATATTGGTTCAACTCTGGGCGTCAGGAATTGCCGGCCCTATGTGGACCGCTGGGCAACGACCCATTACAAGCGCAGCCCCTTCGAGTCCAGCTGGTGGCGTGGCTTACAGGGGCCGAGCGATTTTTTGGTATCTTCTGAGCGGTAGGATATGTTCTGCCCGTTGACATGGGGTACATGGGGTGTACCCCATGTTTGGCAAAAAGCGCCACCTTTGAAGTGGACGTTTGTGGAAGCCCCTCCTTTTGAAAAGCTCTGTCCACCGGCGGAAAACCTGAAAGGAGGCTCAGGTGAACAGTTCAGGGTTCCGTTTCAAGGAAAATCGTCCAAACCACCACCTCCGTCAGACTTGAACGGTTCTGTTCTGGGTAAGGGCAAAGCCCCCGGAACACCAAGCCAGGCCCCAAAGGGGTAGCTGAAGAATGGACATTTCGGGAGTTGAATAGAAGCTTCCGCCAGAGTCAGGTGCGGTTGCAGGTCTGATTTTGAGCCTTTGTCCCAAGGCCGAATTCATTTTTTGAGGCCCCCCACTGCAACGATGGGAAAGTCTATCCTGGAACTTACCCTCACGCTTTGAAGGGACACCACTCCCCACAAGTGATGTTTGGAGAACTCCTAGCCCGTGTTTTTAAGGTTGGACCCTCCCAAAATGGATTTAGGGTTTCCTTTGGTCCCCAACAAAACACCCATAAAGTTCACGTGGGAGCAATGGACCATGTGAGGAAGTCTCACGTTGGCTTTCTGTTCTGGGTGGGGGGCTCTCTAATTTTCGGTCGGTGAGTTATCACAATTTGCTACCTGGTCTTGTGCAAGCTGTTCTTATGGTGTTTGTGGGCTTATCTAATGACCATCTTGGCAAAACCCTCAGAAAGAAGGGCCCGGAACCTTCTACTATAATACCTAATATAAACAAACCGTTATATCCATCCTCGAACAAACCCATCAGACGCAATATAAACCTTAACACCATTTAGGTGTGGCTCAAGATTCAAATGGCCTGGGTGACGCAGCTTTTAGTCTTTGGTTCCCTTTCCCAAGGTGCCATTTTGGCACCATTTATTTGAGCCACAGCCGAATCTTAGAACCACCTTTGCCTCGGGTGACGGCATCCTCGGCGCGAGGTGGTCCACCTTTGCCTTGGTCCTCAGCGCCGGCTTGGCCGGCGCGGCCTTTACGGCGCTCTCTCGCCGCTGAGGCGAGAACCCGAGCGGACCATGAAGGTTACCCTCCACTGGGCGTTCCCAGCGAGTCGTCCGGTTCTCTTCGGTTTTTTTTTGTGTTTTTTGCTGGGTAAAGATGGCAGTTTCCATCTTTCCCACCAAAAGTTAGACTCTTGGCAGGGGAGCTGAGCACAACAATGGAAGCTGACAAGAGGTTGTCAGACGCTGCTTTTGGGGAAGCCCCACGATTGTCTTCCATGATTGTGGGGAAAAGGGTACGGCCTCACATGTTTGGTTTGATTGCACTCTGTTTCCAACCGGGGGACTTTGTGCAAGGAGTCAGTTGGACCATCCCAGTTGCGTTTGACTGGCTATTTTGTCCCCACAGCTGGCCCGGGACTCACCCAAACAGGCGAATGGAAGAAGGGGAGACACACACACACACAGAGAGCAAACGCAAACTCAGAACAGTAACACTCGTTCGGCTGCTCGATTAGCCTAAGACATCAACGGACAACTCACTCGTTCACTCTCTCACAGGCTTGCTTGGGCAGTAGTCTGGACAAGAACAAATGGTGCATTGTTTTTTCTTCTAGCCTCTCCACCTTGACTCAAAGGACACCATCGGCAAGGCCACCATTTCTGGGCGCCTCCCTATCTTGACACACTTATCCAAGTACCAAAAGAAAAGCAGCAAAAGAAGTTCGAAGCAAAATAGCTGGCTGATGCAGTCACCGGCCTGCAGAGCTCGCCACGATTCGTGCACAGGTGTAGCTTGGTGTCTCCCAGCTGTCCCCTTAGCTTTTTTAGCCTTTTAGTGTTTAGTGGTAGTTTCCATTTAACCCACTAAAGGTTGAACTTTTGGCGGGGGATCTGAGGGCAGCCCAGAGAGCTATGGTAAGTTCAAAGGAAGAAACGCCGGGTCTTCCGGGAAGCGTCATGACCCTCAGCCCCCAGAAACTAACGGCTAGGGTCACCCTGGGCTTCCTGATCTTGAGGATCGTCTTGTGAAGCAAGCGCGAACTGTTTCCTTCCGGTTTTGAACTCGAGCCAGGAGCAGTCCGTTGCTGCCCACTGCAACTGCTCCCTTACTATCTCCTCTGAGGCCTGATGGTTTTGACTGGGACTGCTTTTGACGCTATTTTAGATGTTAAGCCTTCGGACGGATCAGAATACAAACAAGTCATTTTCAGACGGGGGCAAAGGCTGAGGTATCAGGCTGTGGATATCTTCAGTTGTCAGAATGGTTCAGCGTCGGTCCGGCATGCGGCCAGGGGTTTCGCTGCCAGCTTTCAGTGTCTGACTGCATGCAGTAGGTGGCACCATCTTTGCCCAAGAGCGGCAAAGGCGACGGAGTCGGAAGCGGTTTTCCGGAGAGGCGTCATTTCCGAGCTGAACATAGGTCGGTGCGCCTTCCTGCCAGTTGAGGTGATCCGTGATATGTTTTTTTTCTTCATTCTGGCGAAGGAAGCTTGACATGCATTTTCTGACTCAAACTCAAACTCTGGAAGCCACCTTGTTACCTGCAGCTGGGGGACTTTTAACTTTGAATTCGCGCGGCCAGTTTTCGTGGCCATTTTTCGGCAGGCAGAAGCCCTGGCCCAGAGGGAAGGAAGCGGCAGAGAGACCGGAAGCCAGCAGAATCGGTCAGACCCCCAACGGGACTCCAACACGGACGGTGGGTTCAACCAGAGTTTCGGCTCAAGACAAGGACTTCCCGGAACTTGATGTTGGTTTATTTTGTTGGGGTTTGCCGCTTGCAATTGTCAGTTGAATCGAATCTTCTGCAAATGTCATTGCCAGCATCTGCAGGATGTGGATCGCCTATGCTTGGCCTTTCACGGAACTCCCATAAATCAGATTTGGCTATGTTTTCTAATTCGCATCGCATGCGTAAGGTGCGCGGCACATGGACATGGGGCCGGGATCTTCTTTGCTTTACATGCGTGTTTCTGGGGATTATTTTGTTATGAGCGTTTCTGGGGGTGATTCATAGTTAAACTGTGGGCGTTTTTCCATAACTTACCATTTTGGAGGGTGACCCTCTTCTGGAATTGCCGGCGAGTCCCTTTGGACTTTGCCCACCGACCCGTTCGAATCCTTCGGAGCTGCAAAGCCCGTCCAGCAAAAATGAAAGAATCCCGCGCCGCGACAACGGGCGGTAGGGGACGGTGGATTTTATCTGCAAATGGACCAAGGTGTATTTCTTTTTCCCCTTGCTTGTTGTTGATGAGCTTTGGTGCGCTTTGCTTGGATGTCAAGGTGTTTTCCATCAAGCCACTAAAAGTTAGTCACTTTTAGCAGGGGAGCAGAAAGCAACCGAGGGAAGTATTGGATCCCTTGCCCGAAGGTTGCCTGGGATCCTGAAATATCCGGCAACCTTCTGGCAACCTTCTGGGAATTGAACAAAGTCAGGGGGGCAAATGAAGCGAAGGGGTTCAAACAAGTGGTCGCCTGGCCTAGGCCTGGCGTTTGGCTGATTTTTTGGATCGCTTCCGTGTGGATTGGCTTTTTTTTTTGGGGGGGGGGAGGGAAATTCGTTAACCACTCAGTTTCCGTCCTAAAGACATCCCGAGGTTCAATCGCCATTTCCTGGAAATTCCCGAGGTTCAACCGCCATTTCCTGGAAATTCCGAGGTTCAATCGACATTTCCTGGAAATCCCGAGGTTCAATCGCCATTTTTGGGAAATCCCGAGGCTCAATCAACATTTCCAGTAGGCTATGGTCAATTTGCAGAGTTGGCTCTACTTTCCCCATGCCTATTACGGGTAGCAGCATATGTTGTCTGCATGAGACACTGGAAGGATCGCTTGGCTGGAGACTCTGTTTCTTGCCAGCCTTCTTTTTGGACTCTCAAGGGTCAAAGTCAGCTTGGTTTTGCATCAAACAACCCTACACCGAACATGCTACGCCTATGTTCTTATAGGTGTCCTTTTTTGTTGATTTGGTTGAACACTAGAGGGCGATCCCTGGTTTGCCTGGTGGTTCAACCAACTGCCAGGGAATTCCATCTATTTTCCCGAAAAGGACACCTACACCGAGAATCCTACGCCTAAAGAACTCGAACCGATCGAGCCATTGATCCGCGTGTGCTGAGGCACGGGGCCGGAGAGCTACAGCGTGGCGGTGTGCAACCGGGGACCGGGGGCCTTAGAGTTCCATCCCAGCCGCCTGGTGCCGAAAGACGGGCCAGGCGCCTTGGATGTTTCGACTTGGGGGGGGAGGGAGGAGGGGTCAGGGGGAGGGGGGAAGGCATTCTTATGAGAACAAAGCAAACTGGTGGCTACCAACTCCAAACTTTGGAGTTTTTGGGTTCCTTCTGGCTGTTGGTTGGTTGTTTTTTTGAGACTTTCACGCAATTTGCAATGGGTTTGCAGCAAATCATGCCAGGAGCCCGCGGGTTCTTTGTGAGCCCATAAGAAAACAGAAGGGGTGCTTTTTGGGATGTCACATCCCCACCAACACCCGGTCTTCCTAGAGAAAAAGGGTGCTTCGGAGCTTCCGTTCTTTCGGCTTGCCCGGGCTGAGCAGGATGTGCCCGGCCCAAGCCCAGGATTAGGTTTGGAGTCCTCAGATCCCGATCCTGGCAAGGCATAGCTTTGCTGATGTCTCGGGGAACCCAACGGCTCAAGGATGGAGCCCTTGGGTTTCAAGCCATTTGGCACTCTCACACTGGGGAATTGCTAACTCCCGACCACTCTGAACTACAGTTGATCCCCATGAACAATCTCACTCTAGTTTGGTCTTCCTTGAAGTTTCCCAGGAGTCAGTTTGGCAAGTAAAGGGGTTTACGACAGTTGCAGGGCTAGGTTTCCTTCTTTGGGTTTCTTGCCTTCGATTCGTCCACTGTGGCAAGGCACACCGTTGAAAGTTGGCACGGCAACTGGCGGTTGGGACACCCGGAAACGAATTCGACAGGTTCCCAAAGTTTGTTCGTTTGAGCTTTTCATCGGGGAATTGAGCCTTAGGGCCTGCGTCTCCAAAATCTGCCTTAGGCAGGTGGGTTTCCCTTATTCAAAGATTTGGACTGGCCCAAATGGGCAAGCTGAAGGAAGCTGTGAAGACGCAAATGAGAAGGGAATGTGTTTGCCAAACTCGGGCACTGCCAACTGCTGCCAGTTGCTGAACAAGAATGGGAGCGTGCTGTGCGGTTTTCTTTTTGCATTCAAATTCATTTGATATATAACACCCCTTTGGTTCTTTACTCCCCAGCTCTGACACCAAATGCGAAGATACGGCGGATATTCTACAAATGTGTTCTTCTTCTTTTTATCTTTCGGGTACCTTGTTCAGGCTGGTTTGAAGGGGCTGAGACACAACCAGAATCCATTTCGCGGGTTGCAGATGCGATTTTTTGAGACATACCAGATTGCAAGTGAGACATCCTAGCCCCTTGAGATTGGGGAAACTGGTTCCCCTGCTTCATCCACGAAGCGCAACCATTTGAGGACTTCTCATGATGACTTTCCGGGCTTTGAGGGGCCAAGGGTTCCCGAAAATTAAGGGTTTGGCTCATCTTTAAACCTACCGAGCCTCAAATACATACACTCAACAGGGAACCGCCCTCAAAAGTGGTACATGCTCAATAGGAAACCACCCTCAAAAGTGGCTGGACAGGAATCCGCACCCAAATGATGTCCATCATGTTGGGTCTTGGACCAACATCAGAGTTGATCCCCGTGGCCCCAGTTTTAGCCCAGCAAAAGCGAGCCCCATTGGGCCCCAGTCCCAGCGCTCGCCCCCGTTTTGGCGCTTGCGCGTGCTCGCCGAAGGCGGGCCGAAGCTGAAGCTTCTGGCGACCCTGCGCTTCGAGCAGGTGCCGAGGCCGGACATCGGAAAGTTCCGGGCTGGGGTCTGGGTCCGGCTGTTGTTGGTGCAAGGGTTGGGGGGGGGGGGGAGGTGTCCATGTTTTTTTGTTTTGTTTTGAAGGGGGGTTCACCATATGTGTGTTTTTTCAGGGGGGGGTCGTGTTAGTTTGTAGGGGAATAGGTCCTCCTGCCTGTGTTTCGGATCCTGCTTTTTGGACCCCACCTGTGTTTTGGACCCACCTGCTCTCTTGCCCCTTCCTGCTTTTGATTTGGATGTCCCAGCACATGTTTCTCGTTGGTTTCCGTCAAACAACCTTCAAAGGGTTCGGCCCCAAGATACACCCGTGTTTCTCAGTCATCTACACGCCCTGCCCGACTCTTCGTCTTTCGCCCCCCTTGTGAGCCCTTCCGCCAATCACCGGCTGCCTCTCTACATGGAGGTTGAAACCCAACCACTCAGCGGGCACTGCCCCTCAGGTCCCTTAAACATGCTCAAAGTGAACACGTCCCCACCTGCCCCGCAAGGAATGTCACCGGGCCCCAAAAATGCGAGTTTTGACCACGCTCTGCCCTCCTTCCCTTCCCTTCCCTTCCTCCCTTCCCTTCCCTTCCCTTCCCTTCCCTTCCCTTCCCTTCCCTTCCCTTCCCTTCCCTTCCTCCCTTCCTCCCCTTTCCACCAAAAAAACACACATGTGTTCTCCCCCCTCAGCAGACCCCTTTGGCCCCCACCTCCACGGCCTCCTCCCTTTCCGCCCCCCATCCAGGGCCCGCGCCTGCGACCCGGGCTTCTGGGCACTGGCTTTCGCGCAGTGGGTGCCCGGGGCCACGGAGTACCACCGCGCCGAGGCGCGGCGGGGACGTGTCTCGCGCGCCTTCGCGGGCGCGGGGCGCGTGTTTGGGGCGCTTGGGGCGGTGTTCGGGTCAGGCGGTGTTGTGGTGTTCTTGGCGTTCGGAGGCTCGTGGTGAAAGGGGGGGACCAAAGAATGAATGGGGGGTTGGGTTGGGGGGTGTGGGGTTTGGGGGGATTGGACCGGGGATGGTTGCCGTGGTTCTGTTTGGGTCCCCTCGAGACTCCTCTTCTTCCGGTCTTGGGAGCTGCCCTGAAAAGAGCTGAGGGCTAAATCAGAGGCTTCTTGGCGGCTTTTGCCGCCGCTGGCCGGGGGGCCATACTCAAAACGCGGGTAATTGGAGGTTAACAAGGGGGCCGTCGCATCCCTTTCCCCCTTTTTTGCCGATCATGCAAGTGGACAAGGGGCCTTTCCAAGAGGATAATCGTCTTGTCAAAGCCTTGATCCACCAAAAAGCCGCGCGCTTGGAGGTGCTTTACGACGTGCTGCTGCCTTGGCTGGCGGGTGGCCGGATCAGTGAGTGCCTAGCAACCGAAGCGCGGTTTAGCCGGGTCTGGCGCACTCCCTGTGGGGGCCCCGGACGCGTTTTGCTTTGGGGGGGATTTGTTTGGACGTGTCTTTGTTTTGAGGCCTTTTTTGGTCGGCCTGCCTTGGGAAGCCAAACGAACAACCATTTTTGGGGTCCCCTGAAGCAAGACACAACCCAGTTTGGTGGGTTGTCTGCGTGAATCAGTTGCTGGCTAGTTGGTACCTCGAGCCGAGAGGCCCAGGGGCCCGCGGTGGAGGATTGGCCTGGGCTTGATCAGTGTTCCGTGCGGCCCACAAGTCACATGGGTCACTTCTCCCACTTTGGCGGGACATACCGTGGACGCCCGGAAAACAAATCATATTGCAAGTTCCGGCACTTGGGATGTGGACAGCACCGCTCACTGCGAACTCCTCTGCCCCAGCTACAATGTGGAGGCCAAGCGCGTAGCCAAAATATTGCAAGTCCAACACTGAATTAGGGGAGTGGGGGCAGCAGATGTCATATCATAAGTCATAGTGCTTCTTTTAGTAGACCGTGCAATCTGTTTGTTTTCTTCGCACTTGCAATATTGAGGGGTTCGACCGTATCATGTGTTTTAGTGCTTTCCCCCAACGGAACTCCGATTATTGCGGTTAGCTGTGGCCCAAGCATTCATGCGCCGTGAAGGCCTATCCATGACTTAGCTGTTCAGTTTCCAATCTTTATGCGTTTTGTAGGCCAAAAGAGTTCAAGCTGTTTATCGCGAGTGTGAGCAGCAACCGTTGGTTGGAGGGGCGCCACGTACTAATGGACAATGTTCGAGTTGGTTTCCTTCACAACTGCTAAGAGAGGTTCGTTGGGCGAAACTAGATGGCACCATTCCTCCCAATTTTGGGTTAGCCATCCCCTTTACTTATGGGCCGTCTACTTCCACCCCGGATCAAAAGCAAAGACCTGACCCATGAATCAACAGGGAAGCCATGGACTTTTTTCGCCGAGGTAGGTCCAACACTGCCTGCATGAAGAACTTGCTGGAGGCGTGGGTTGGGGGCTGTGGTCTACCCTCCCCAACTTCTGAGGTCCAAATGGGTCTCCAATTCCTTCAGGTGATTGGAACTGCTTTCTCTCGAAACCATCCCAAAAACGGAGACACCCAACACATACCCATCTGCCACATGTGCAGATTCGTGGGGACAAGGAATGCTCAACCTGAGGATCCGCTTTCCCCCCGCCTTTGGTGCACCAGGCGCTGCGGCTGCTGACTCGGAGCGCTCCGTGGCGCCCGCTGCTGGCGGCGCTTCGGCGCGAGGCGCTGGTGCTGGCGGCGGAGGCGAGAAGTTCTCGCCGAGCGCAGAAGAGCCCATCCCCAAAAAAGCCACTGGCTTATTAATCCGGGGCGAACATTACCCAACGCTGCAATGTTGGCAACAACTAGAAGGGGAGCTCCGAAGAATGGCATGAAGGCAACACCGGTGTTTGCCGCCCAAACCCGGATATGCCTTGATTCAACCCCATCGAGTCGAGGCTCATGTGCTTGCACCCTGCAGGTGGGACAGAATTCTTCAAGAAACAAAGATGCGTGACACGTGAACTGACGTGAGACCGGACGGATTGTGAAGCGGATGCACGCAGATCGCAGGCTTGGATGTGATTTCCAGGGGATGTGCCTAGCGTTCCCCAAGAATACCACGTGAGATGGTTTCTTTCGGGGTTGCCTCAGTCTCTGCTCAGAACCAGCAAGACTATCATACCTCACAAAAGGTCCTGGGTTTGGTCGGAATTTTCTTTGGGTGGGTTGGTTGCATGTTAGTCAGCAAGGCAACCACTATGGCAACCAGAGAGAACTTGCCCGAGACGCTGGGCAGGGCGAAAAGGAACACTCAGGCTATAGGTTCGGTTCATTCCTCAAACCCTTGAAATTCTCTCAGCGAGAAGTGGATGGAGGGGAAGTTCTGGCTTCTCGATCCTGAAAACCGACCGGGTGGTTTTCCTTTCGGCCCAGGAGCTGGCTTTGCAGCCGCTGGCTTCGCCGCAGGTGAGGATAAGTCAGGGCATTCCAGGGAACCTAAAACATGAGACCTTTGCACCATGGTCCCTTTTTGCACCATGCCTGACCCAACGCCCGTTTAAAACACGGAACCTTTGAACCTGCTTTTATTGTGGATTCGCTGAATCTGGAAGTGCGGATCGATCTACAGGGAAGCCGAAAGAACCCCAGGGATGCACTCACATTTCCCCCACGAGGTTCCCCAACAAAATGCCCTCCCCTGATCCCAACGGCCAAGTCGGGGGTTGGCGGGAGCCTCGGATCGCAACCGAAGGCGACGGCGGCGCTGGGCGTCCTGGAGCCCTACAGCAGCAAGCTGCGGCTGGAGCAGTTGCCGGCGAAGCCGGCGCCCACCTGCAAGGCGCGCCGCCGTTTGTTGGGGGCCGGGGAAAGCGCGGGCGGCTTTTGGGCGATTTGGTGCCGTTTTTTTTTTTTTTTTTTTTTTTTTTTTGCGGGGCATGTTTCGTTGGGTTGAAGTGTATTTTTTTGGATGTGAAGAAAGATTTGGCAAGGGGGGCTTGAGGGGTTTGTGGGCAGTGGGAAGTTTTTGGTTTCTTCTTCTTTTCATGGCGCGGTGTTGTGTGCAGGGCTTGCGCCTCCGCGCTGAGGTCATTGCGCTCTTCTTCTCCGTTCCCGGCAATGTGTCGGACGAGGTGCACAGGCGCCGGCAGTGTGGGTGGGTCTTAAAAGGGGGCCGAGATAGCGGAGTTGCTGCTTTTTTCAGTCACTGTTGCTGGGTTTTGGGGCAAAGTGGATGGAAAAAAACAGCAACTGGCGATCCAGGGGGGATGTTTTCAACAGCTGGAAGCCTAGGGGTTGATCCCAAACAAAGTGTTGGGTGGGGTTCCGGAGGTCCTATCCCGAAACATGGCGAGCGATCCCAACTCATACCGCCAAACTCGCAAATGCAGAGTTTCCAACATGTTCCGGGCACTTGCAAGCTGGCATCGACCTGAGGAGCAAGGTTGAGCCCTGTTTTACAAGGTCCTATCAGCATTGGTCCGCCCTAGTGGTCCGCTCAACTTTTTTCCCGGCTGCAAGCCAGGCTGGGATCTTGGTCTTGGACTCACAAAAGTTTCGGATGGGTTGCGGGGAGTTGTTGGGGGTTAGGAACCGCCAGTCAAGCCTCGATGCCTTGTATTCAGGCGCCAAGTGGGGGCTGCTGGACCAAGAGAGCTTGGCGCATTCTTCTTTTTGGCTTGGGGCTCGGATTACCAAAGATGGCTTTGCACAATCCGTAGAAACCATCAGATCATCACTCAAATTTTTCCTCACCCCCTGCTCGTGGTTGAGGTTTTGGAAACATGTTACATTCTTGCTTATTGTGGTTTAGTGGTTGAAATCCCCACTTACCTGCTAAAATATGTTTTTTTGCTCCCTGGGCATAGCGGGGAAACCACCCGGAGCACCTGCCCAACCACAGCCCTTTCCTTTGGTGCATTTTCCTTGGATGTTAGGACTTTAATGGGTTTTCCGAATTACACCACTAAAAGTTAAACGACTTTTAGCAGGGGAGCAGATTTCGCAACCGAGTTTCGCAGGAGTCACTCGGAAGCTCCGTAGGCGCCTGTCAAAGCTGGTCACCGACGTGTGGGACGCCCACGGTGGCGGCGCGCTGCTGGTCTGCGAGTGCCCGTTGGGCGAAGGCGCGCAGAGAAGGGCCGGCGGGAGGGGGGGTTCTGAAAGAATCTCCGTGGTGTTTTTTTTTGGTTGGATCCTTTGCAGCAGGCTGGTGTAAAGCGAAACCAAGAAGGTTGCAGCAAACCACGATTTTTGAGGGGGTCCTGTAGCTGGACACATACACTTCCCCACGCTTCATCATGGGCGGCAGACATGGGAGTTTCGCAAGGCTATTTGTTGGATTATTCGGCAAAGGGTGCCACCTGAGAAGCGTGGGTCTCCTTTTGTCACTTTCAAGTTGTGTTTTCAATGTTATCAAGCTTCTGTCAAGTCAGGGCAAACCAAACGGCCTTTCGATGAAGGATTTATGTTCTTGTTGGTCTCTTATTTCAGGTTATGTTTCACCAACAACTTACCCGCAGATCAATGTCTGCCAACTTCTCCATACTGTCAGCCTTTTCCAGCAGTTCAGCTTCCACCAACTATCCGCTGAAAGAAACACTCCACGCAGCAGGCATCGGCTCTTATCCTACAAAGCACGGTTTTGTTGTGACTCACACAACAAATGGCTGTGGGTCAAAAAAAAGGTACTCAAAAAAATCAAAATGCAACCCTGGAAAATGAGCGAAGGACGAACACCTGCGGCCCGATTCCCGGTATTGAATTTTGACCCATACCCAAATAGACCGCATTTTTTCGGGGGGTGATTCTACGAACCACAAGGTTTGGCAAGCTTGCGGCAAAGTGCCTTTGTTTGGTCTCTTTCGGGGACAAGAAAGCGAAGAAAGGCGGGTGGACCTTTCTGGTTTTCCTTTAAACCACTCCCAAAGGAGGTGAAGACAAGACACCTCAATAAAGGTGGGTTAACCTTTTCCCTTAAACCACTCCCATAGGGGGCTCTTTTCGTGGATGGCCAGGCCCGGCACGGGAATGGGCGGTCTGCGGCGACGCGGGGCTGGCGCGGGCCTACGGCCTGGAGGCGAGAGGTTTGGGGATCTCGTTTCGCTTCGGCTCTGAGCGCCCGAGACCTCGGTGGAAAGCAGCGCCACCTCGGTGGTGCGAAGGGTTTGTTTTTTTTCTTCATTTTTTCCTCCTTGTTTTCTTCTTTCTTCTTCCTTTTCTTCTTCCCCCGCTCTGTGCAACAAGCAGTATACGCGGAAAAAAAAAAAACAAACAGATACAACGGGAAAACGGCGTTCTGTCTTTTTATCCGCTGATACAGGGTGATGCTCAGTTTGAAATTAGCGCCACTTTAGGAAATGCTTCTACCTTTTTTCATAGCGTGCGTGATACGCAGCTGGGATATTGATGAAAGTGGAAGGTTCGATCTCCCCCATTTATTGGTCCTTTCCGGTCACTCCAGTTGAACATAGCTGGATTCCGCTGAGTTTGGTTCGATGCTCATTTCCCAGTTCTGGGTCGATGCTTGGGACCATCAGAGACATCTTTGCCTTGCCTGTTGTTGGATCAAGTTTTTAGGTTCTTGTTGGATGTTCGGTTCTGTTCATCTTTGCTAGGTCTTGTGAAAGTTGCCCTTGACTCAAATGAACAAAGAACATATTTGAGTCCTGAATGTTGAAGACCCCGGGCTTTGCCTTGCTAGCTTGGGTCCCCAAGCCGCCCTGTCTACTTTCATGATCGCGGAAGGAAAGACGGGTTGCGCACTTGTTTTTGGTCTCATACTGCGGATGGACGAACTCACTTTCAAGCTGCGAAGTCGTTTTTTTCTTCTTTTTCTCCTGGCTGAGTCGACTTAGAATCCGTTGGGTTTCGGAGGTGGTGCGATTTCTGGATTTCGCCACCATCCACAGCATGGAACCTCCCAATGGTTTTCCCTTCAAGGCCTTTGGGGAGTTGAACCGAACCGGCTGATCCTGTTGGGAACCTGCCTGTGGCTTTTTGGTCGTCAGCCCGGACGGAACGCGAAATGGTTGTGGCTTCTGTGGGTCCAATTCTCATTCCCTGCCCATGTGTTTGCTTGCTTGCTTGCTTGCTGGCTTGGCTTGGCTTGGCTTGGCTTGGCTTGGCTTGGCTTGACTTGGCTTGGCTTTGCTTTGCTTGGCTTTGCTTGTTTGCTTGCTTTGCTTTGCTTTGCTTTGCTTTGCTTTGCTTTGCTTTGCTTGCTTTGCTTGGCTTGGCTTGCTTGCTTTGCTTTGCTTTGCTTTGCTTTGCTTTGCTTTGCTTTGCTTTGCTTTGCTTTGCTTTGCGTTGCTTTGCTTTGCTTTGCTTTGCTTTGCTTTGCTTTGCTTTGCTTTGCTTGCTTGCTTGCTTGCTTGCTTGCTCTTTTCAACATTTGCCGAAGAAAAACTCCGAACCTGAATAAACTTCCATGTGCTCCAGAGCATGTGCTATTGTATATTCCGCCAGTTTGTTTTCAAGGGATCGAATTCACCACTCCCAGAGGCTCCCGATTGATTTACGGCCTTCAAACAACTTGGTTTTGAGACCCCCAACCACCTTCTGGGGTGTCTAGTGGAGGGGTCGGGTCTTCCACTGAAAGCCGAAGCCAGGAGCCTCTGGGCTGGACAAATTTCTTCCAAGTTTTCGAAGAAACCTGTCGCTCAAACTGCCGAGGCCGCCCAGGAGCCCAAGGTGCTGCTCTTCCGCGCCGACGGCCGGATGCTGACGGAGGAGCCCGAGCCGCGAGCCCGGCAAAGGGAGCCCAACCGTTGGAGTTTGGGGAAGCCCAGGTCTTTTGTTTTGGATGTCCCCAATTTATGTCTCGTTTTTTTTTTTGGGGGGGGATATGTCTATTTTTGAAACGTTTTGAATTTTTTAGGGGGGGGGGGTTTCTGGCAACTGAACATTGCCCCTCAAAAAGCCTGTGAACGCGCATGGCACATGTCTCTTTGTTAAGGCAAGTGTTTTGGGGTCGCACATGTTTCTTTGTTTACGCGGATGACCAAACCTTCCATGGGGAGATTTGCCGAATTGCGCCTACTTTCACCCCCCGCTGGACCAGACCGAACTCGTTGGCTCACCTTGTTCAACTCTCGGCCCGTCTGCTAGGTCCCCCAGTGCCCTTTTAGTGTCTTTTTTTGTGGAGGGTTCCCCGACTAAAATAGACTAGAGAAAAAAGACGGTAGCCTTATTCTAACCTCTCGACTGGAGGAAGTCTGGGTTTCGTTGGTTTTCAACCAGCCAAAGGCCAAGTCTCTGCAAGGGCTCGGATCAGTCTGGCAAAGAACCGATGGCCATGGCCCACCAAGAGACATCGACATCCCTGCGTAGGACACCCGTCTTCTCGATAGCCTGAACATATGTAGTCTTTTGGGACTTGAAGCTGCCATTTCGTATGTCAACTTTTGAATAAGACACAGCTTAAAAGGGGCCCTTATAAAAGAGTGGTTTGAACATCACCCTGTGTGTTGATTGAGCTTTGGGGCTGGGAAAAAAATGAAGGGACGCCAAAGGAAACCACCCGTTTTGGGGGTGCATCTCCTGTGGAATGAGATTGGCGGGATCCGACAGCTTGACGATCCGCAGTTTGCGGGGTTTATTCGGCACTCCCCAAGCGCCAAAGTGAAAAAAGTTACGGCAAGTGAGCTGGAGTGAATCGTCCGTCCTCCAAGAAGGATTTGGTACCATGTTCTTTCACCCGGGTGTACAAATATGGCTGTGGCTCAAGAATCCGGTTAAATGGAACCCTGGTAAGTGGAGACATGGACCAAAACCTGCGGTTTGCCCCCCCCCCCCCCCCCCCCGAGCCACACCCATATGATGTTTGTATACACATGGGGGTACGATCTTAAGTTTTCCGTCAAGGTGCCTTCCAGACTTCCTTTCTTCGAGGCCACCGATCAGAACTGCAGGCAGCCCTTCTCCTAAAGCCGCAAGCAGGGATAGATGATCGAAAGGATCTTTTGCCTGTACAGGAATATCACCCCCCCACAAAAACAACAAAGACATAAGCAGGAAAACCACACAAACAACACCTAAAACCGAAGTACAGAAGTTTCAACAAGGAGGACTGTGACGCCATGTTCTCTTCTTTTTTTAAGACTTGCGCTCGCTTTTGCGCCAGGAGGGCCTCCAGACGCTGGTGCGGGATCCGACTGGCAAGGACTTCCCCTGGGACCCCGCAGGCGTCCGCCTGGGCCGTTTGGGCGTAGCACAGCGGCACCCCTTTTTTTGCTTTTGTTGGGGGGGCGGGGGGAGGGCTCCAGGATTGGTTTGGAGAGGTGGCTGTTCGGAACCGTTTTTTTTTTTTGGCAGGGGAGGCGACTTTCAACGTTTGCTGATTTGAGGCTTTGATGTTCTTGTGGCTCGCGACTGGCATCCTTCTGCTGACTTCTGTTTGCTTGAGATCATTTGTTTCCGCTCATTTTTGGTTTCAAGGGAACTGGCCTATAAATGGAAGGGGCTTGCCTCAAATCCCGAGTGATTGTTTGGCAGGTTGATGTTCAGTCCGGCTTGCGGGAGAAGGTGGGACCAAGGAGCCGATGAAATCAACGATCAAACGGGAACTTGAGGCTCGTGATTTGTTGCTCTTACGACCTTTCACCTATCAATCATTCGACAAGATGACAGCTTCGGGGGCAATGGGTGCATTCGATTTGCCATCCCAAGGGAAATTCAAAGGGAGCCACCTCACATGCTTCACTAGTTGGCAACCGGCTTTCAAGATGTGACGTGGTTGGCCATGCGCGGGTTTCTCAAAAAGGTGGTCTGGCTGATTTCCTTTTGGCTTTCCCTTACCAAGCTGAGGTCTTCCTTTTGTTTTTCCTTTTGGTTCCAACCCTCTTGGGCGTGCCCTTTTTGCCAAACGGAACACCACCCATTTTCAGCGTGCCCCCCCAAAAGAAACAGGCACAACACCGGAACAAAGAAGAAGAAAGAGCACCAACGGAACACCACAACACCTCGTCCTCTTTCTTTTTTGCGTGGCGCTCCGACCTCCCCCCAAAAGAAAGCCGAAGAGAAAGCCAAAGTTCGCGAGAGAAGTTCCTCTCGCCCCAGGCGACTTCCCCGAAGCCCCCCTTTCCGATCCGGCGCTCGGCGCCTCCTCGGCTCGGCTCGGCTCGGAACTCGCGAGGCCTGGCGGCCTCGGACGTGGCGCTGCTGCGCTTCGGCTGCCGATCCGTGGCGCTGCGGCGCAAGGACTTCTCTCGCGCGGTCCTGTCGTTCGGAGAGGCGCTGGGAGGCGGAGGTCTCCGGTGCCCCCCGACTTTCCTTTTTTTTGGGTGGGGGGGGGGGGTGAAACTCTGCCAAGAAACAAGAGGGCCCTTTTTGCCTTGCTTGGTGTTTGGAGGGACAGCCCTGTAACATCAACCCCCCACGAAAAAAAAGGAGTGCCCATCTTGTTGTTGTTTTTAGGCATTTTATTTGTTTTTTAGGGGGACACTCCTTCAAACGCAACTGCCAAAAAAAGCAAGACTGCCCTTCTTCCGCTTTTTTGGAAGGGGGACAGTCCTTTACACTCAACTCCAAAAGGTGTGGCCTTCTTTCCTTTGTTTTAACCTTCGAACTCAACTACCCCAACAAATAGAACACTTTCAAGAAGCTTCCTTTTGGGCCACTGGGGGTCCGGGCAACCACTCACCTGCTGTTCTCAGAGCCGCGCTTTTCGGCTGTTCGGCTTCCGGAAACTCGCGGCAGCTCGGGGCGCGGCTCGGAGCGGAAGGACGCTGCGGAGCTGGGCCGCGTGGCCAAGGCATCGATCCGGAGCCGGAGCCGGAGGGGTCAGGCGAAGGAAAGGGGGGCTCGAAATGCGAAATGCGGAGATGTGAGGGGATTGAAGCATCAACAGGGGGCTGGATGATATGAGTGAGAATGCATTGAGTTCTCGATTCACTTGGTGTTAAGGTTCTGGGGGTTGTGGTTTGGGGGTACTACGGAAGCCTGTTGCCCTTGCAGTTGGGGTACCTTGTGCCCAAAGGGCCTTTGCTGCAGCCCCATACATGTTGTTGGACTCCCATTCGAACGCGTAAAGCAACAAGCCGATCCCCGTGCTTTCAATCAAAGCAGTTTGCATGTGTCCTTTTGTGAAAACCCACGCCCAATTGTGTTTTTCACAAGCAGGGCAATTTGATGATTTGCATTCAACGCAATCAAGTTACGTGTTTGTTCGTCCGTCCGACTGTTTGCTTGCTTGTTTGTCTGATTGTTTGTTCGCTTGTCTGCTTGCTTTGCCTTTTTGCTTTGCTTTGCTTTCCCAGTGGATCCCAACTACCATTGTTACCACTCTAGTAGGTAACCAACCATTTTGCTTGTGTGTGTGTTTTTAAAGATTGCAGGGTGGTTCCCTTGGTCAGCCGTGGGTTATTGGACCCACTGGCGAGAGCACCCCCTTGGCGTCACCGGCCCATGGGCCGCAGGCCGTCCACGTGCTCGCCGTAGAAGCGCCGCTTCCGGAGGAGAGGCGAGGGCCCGGTTTTGGGGCGGGGCGATAGGTTGACCTCTGCCATTTTTTTCTTTGGTGCATTTTGCCAAGGGATGTTGGGACTTTAACTTTTTGCCAACTAGTGGGTTTTCCGTATTAAACCACTGGACACCTATGCGGTTGGTTTTGGCCCAAGCCTGCCATTCTGTAGCTCTCGCAGCTCTCGTTGTGGCCCTTGAAGCCATGCGGAAACGCGCGGACATGCACCCACGCTCCACCTTGGAAACCAGCTCACGCGTTTCGGCGCCGACTCACTCACTCCAACAACACAACACAAACTAAGACACAGTATATACCTCAAAGCCAGCCAAAAGCGGACTAGCCGGGGTACGCGAAGAGTGTACAATTAGTCAATCCCAGTGATGATTCCGCACATTTCACTGAGGGACACCCCCCATGAATAAACTGGGGTTGATTAATATGGGGTCAACATTAGGGAGTGAGAAATTCCTGAATACAGGAAACCACCAGTTTGGTTTATAGGGATCATTCGATTTTTCATTCCCTGCTGACCAGCAAGTTTTAGTCCACAAGTCCAGATCAACAAAGATTGAGCTTTTGTTTCCAGGTCCTTTGGATAAGAACTTCCTTGTTTGGATACAGCAATCTTGACAAACCTATTCACTCACGGTCCCTCATGTGAAGACGTACGGCGACCTTTTCTCGGGGCCCTGGGGCAAGTTGTCACAATTTCGCCCTGACTTAGACTGATTCGGCCATGCACTTTTTTTCGGGAAGCACCTCTATAATAGTTGATGGACATGTCCCTAAATTCAATATTCATGCCCATTTCTCGCTTCCTGAGTTCATGGACTTTAAACTTTTCGGGGACCATTTTGGTGTAAACAGTTTTTGACTGTTTTTGGGCCATCCACTTGGGAAGAGAGATTTGAAGAGCTCTTTGGCGGCTGTCCTTCTGGCATTTCTTTGTGGGTCGCCCACTTGGAGACGAAGCCATCGGGTTTTTGCCCTTCTGCACTGCTTTGTGAATCGCTCAATCAAACGCATTCTGAGCATCTGGCGAAGGTGTGACACGTTCTTGGCTTTCATGTTTTTCAGTGGTCACGGCCTCGCGAGCACGTGTATCTCGGCTCGCAGGTGCACGTAATTTTGGTCTCGCCTGCGCATGTATTTTGCTTTTTCGTGGCAGGCACGGTACTTTGGGCAAGTCTTCGTGGGTCTCGCCGCGCATGAAATGCTTGCGCACAGGCAAAGCGCACGAGTCTCGCACGCGCATGCAATCAATACGCACAAGTCTTGCACGCGAATGCAAGCCTGCCATCCATGCTTAATGTCCCGCAGGGTGGTCTGGCGCAGGCCAGCTGAAAGGCCCAAGCAAGGTTCCGGGGCGCGCCCGCGCGCCAAATTAGCACGGGAATGCTGTTGAAGTGACCTGCGAGGCGCAGTTTTGGAGCTGGATTCGTGGCAGGCGCAGTACTTTGAGCGACCACATGCTCCTTTGAGATCAGAATCGTCGCGTGCTCCTGTGAGTCCAAAATCGCGTGCTCAGATTAGGCCCCAACCATCTTCCTTCCACCTGGACCTTCGTCCTCCTGAACCAAAACAGAGTTTCAGCCTTCGAACAGCGTGCCAAGCGCCGCAAGACCATGCAAAAGCAGCTCGCTGCCCTTCAGCAGAACAAGCCTTCATTACTTTCTGACGAAGGCTTGTTGCCGGTGTGGCGCTCAAATGGCCCAGAATGGCAATCGGGCTGTTGGCCTGTATGACGAGAACCACTTTTTGTCTTGTCCAATGGCGAAGGTTCTGGCTTCAACGTGTGCGTACTGGCTAAATTTCAAACAGTCGTTGGGGACTGTTCCCAGGAGACTGCGTAGCAAGGACGACGGCAAGCCCCTGGAAAAGGAAGTCTAATGCGACGTGCAAATGGCGGCTGTTTTGCAGAGCCTGCAGCCCCGTTTGAATTTCTTAGGAAAATTCTCAAAAAAAGTGCGCGGCGGGAGCAGCGGGCAGCACATCCTGAAGCTCTTTAAACAAAACTCTTTTCAATGCCCACGGCCTTTCCCAGCTTGTGAAGGTTTTGGGGGGGCGTCAACAACTTCACGCAGCGCGCACATTTGTCCAGACATGATCCAAAGTTGCGCGGTTCAGAAAGAGGCATCGCAAATCTCACGCGCATTTGAAAAAGTCCGCAAACTCCCGCAAACTCCGAACAAAGACTCGTAGCTTTGATGGTCCAGGCAGCTTAGCTTTGTTGGTCGAGGCAGCTTACGGGTATCACTGGCACATTGGCAAGCACTGTGAGGTGCATTGATCTTGCAAGGCCACCGTGCCTCAAAACATCGGAGTACTTTACTGTTGAAAGGATGCCTGGAAATCCGGGCTGTCAACCCAAATGATGTCCCTCGGTCCGGCAAGATGAACTTCTGAAGCTGTGACTGGAAGCCCTTCGCTTCGGGAGATGGGGGCAGCTAGCAAAAAATGGGCGTGGCTTGGACTCATCGGCTCATTTGGTTGAATTTCTGCCCAGTTTCCGGCAGAGACATGAGGAGCTGAGTCAAGGGTATTATTCACTTGCATTTGCACTTGGTTACTCTTGTGTTCTCCCGCAGCCACGGTCATAACTTACAACCTAAGCCTGTCCTATTAATAGGGTGGTGCCCCCTCCGAATGTGATGTCCGTTTAAAGATTTCACCGGCTAATTTCGAGGATCCAAATCCTTGCAAAGCAGGCTATTTTTAATTTTCCGTAAACGCACATGGACCTGCACCTTCAATTGGGACATGGTCTAGGAACCTCCGTGCAGGTTCCATGTTTGCTTTTGGGAGGGTATCTCCTGCCACAACTCTGATACACCCCAAGCAGAGTTTGTTGGGAGTCCCACCCCAGCACGAGCAGTGCTATGTGCCGAGCTGGTGACATTCTGCTTGAGGCATTCTTTGGCAAGCTGAGCCATGAGGAAAGGAATGAGAAGGGAAGGCGTGGCAACAGAGAACACGAGATATGTGTGGGCACTCTACCCAACAAATGCCCATGTTGTCAGTTTTTTCCGTCTTCCTGTTCTTTCTTTTAGCAGGCTGCCACAACACACATGGGTATGGGTCGAAATTAAGCCGCCAAGAATTGTGCCGCAGGTTTTGGTCCTTTCCATTTACCAGGCACAACCAAAAATTGCACCGTCTTTCGGTGCTAGCCCCAGGGGTGGCCACTCTAATTCCCCATTCTTTCCAACCATCGTTCTTTTCGAACACCGGATCCGTTGTCCCTGGGTTTCCGGGAATTTCTAGAAAGATTCGGATCCTTGGAAAGAATGGAAATGGAAGGTAGCACTAGAAACTCTCCCACCGGAAGGCGCATCTTCTCCCCGGCGCCAGGCGCGACCTCAGCTGGCGCCTGCCCGGCGCCTGCGACGCCTCGAGCGCCGCGCTGGCGCGGGGGGAGCTGCTGAAAGCCGCGGAGGCGCCGCGACACAGCCGCGTGCTGCCGGCCTTCGGGGGTTTTGAGGATACGCTTTGCTGCCCCAGTGTTTGGGGATATAACGTTATAGTGGATACGGTTTTTGGGGACACGGCTGGTTGGGGCCGTGCGATGGCTTTGGGGTGGTTTTGTTTTTGTTCGGGGTTGTCTTTGGCCTCTGGGGTGGGGATTGGGGTGATGGGGGGCGTTGTCTGTCAGGTTCGTACAGCAGGCCCTTTGAACAGATGGCAGGTCAGGGTCGCAGAAAGCGCCCTGAACGGATTTGAGCCGCTCAATGCTGCTGTGGATGGACGAGCTCCTGCACCACTGTGAAACCATGGGATTGTTTGTTTGCATTTTCTGCGGGAATCATCCACCCGGGTGAAAAAATGGCGGTGCGACTTGCATCCACATCCTGAGTTTCTGATCAGTGTCGGAATGTCACAAATTGCATGCGCCTCGCGAGCCCAAAGGCTCACGTGGCTCACCAACAGAAAACTGGCTGTGGCTCAAAAAACTGGTACCAACATGGCACCTTGGTAAATTTTGGAACCGAAAACTAAAACCCGTGTAACCCCGGGTCTTTAATTTTAAATGTTGAGCCATACCCAACTGCATGCGATGCCAGACTCATGGCACAGACTCATGGCACTACTGGTTTGGATCCCTTCCGGGCCATTGCGTGCGCGTGCCTTCTCCGGCCATCCTTTACTTTTCCGGAGTCTTCTAGGGGTTTCTCTCCCCGAACTGTCCACTTCCCAAAAGGAGGTGTTCCAATTTGTTAATCTGTTGATCAGATCTCCAGTAGATGGAGGACCGGCCTTTCTGATACAGGTGTGCCGGATGCCCATGCCATCTCGCATCCAGATCAAACCTTTGTGGGAGGAAGCTTTTGGGGGGGAACTCCTTCGTTACTTGGCGGTTCCCAGCCGTCCCTCAGGTTTTTAGGGTGTCGTGGGGTCTCGATTTAGCCCACTAGAAGTTAAGCTGCTAGCAGGGATCTGAAAACGGACAGCCCAGGTTAGAGGAAGCTCCTATTGAACATCTGCAGGGAGAGAGGCTCAGCTTGTCAACCAGTGTCCAGGTGGAGCACTTTGCAGGGGAGGCCGAGCCGCCGCACAGCACAGGCAAGGAAGGGCCATTCTTGCCGGCGCAAGATGGGGGTACCAACAGCTGAATGCTTTGGGCCTCCCCAAGAAGCTCTGGAGTGGACGATGTGTGTTGCACTCTAGATTTGTTCGACTTGGCTTCACCCAATAGGGGTTCCCACCCTCTACAAGATCCAGGAGCATGGGTGACCTACTCCGGGGGGAACTGGGATCTTCTGGGGTAGGCAGAGGTTCTGATGGACCCCTTTAATGGTGGGTTTTTTGGGTTTTTTTGGGAAGCCAAAGGAAAACACCTGGCCATGTGTGTTGGTTTTTCGGGGGGGAACCAAAGGAACTTGATGGTGCGATAAGTAGGGAATGTGGGAATGAACCATTTCGGGGTCTTCTTAAAGGAATCCACCAGCAAGGGATGGTTTTTCTAGGGCTCGGACTCCATGCAACTCATTCCCTGCATCTCTCGCAGCCAGGAAATGGCCCCTGGATTTTCGGGGGAAACCAAAGAGTGCCGTTGCCATTTGGGTGCGGGTCAAAAACAGGTACCCAGAGCCCTGGTAAGTGGAAACAAAAACCAACACCTGCGGTCCATTGGTGGGTTAATTTTGACCCATGCTCATTGACCCCCCCTTTTCGTTGGTGAGACCCGTTGCCGATGGCAAATGGACATGGACCGTGGCGAAGGCTTTGTGGACTTCATGCTGCCGCAGGTGGAGAATGCTCGCCAGGAGGGGAGGGTTTCCGAGGCATTTCGGCTTTTTGTGGAGTTCCAAAAGAGGTCGTTTCAATGAAAGGCACCAGCACAGTCCTCGACTTTTGATCCCCTAAAGTGGCAGCTTTCCAATAGAGTGTGCACCAGCAAATTGATCCACTTTTGATTTGGGGAAATCAGTGACTCTTGTCATAAGAAGCTTGCAGACGGGTAGACGGGGAGGCAGCGGGCTGGCCAAAATGGGTCAGGCAAAAAAACCGACTTTGGAATCCTAGGTTATGCTTTGTCGGGCTTACAATGGCCTATCAGCTATGGGCTCAAGTGACCTGTTGGCGTTGGTCGTAGTGTTGCTGATGTTGTCGTTGTAGGGGAAAGGACAATTGGGGTATTGCTTTTTGGGACATGTGAGACCAGACCACTTTGACCATAGCCTTCTACAGCTGGTACGCCAACAACAAAGGGTATGGCTTCACAGTGACTGGGGGTACAGCTTCAGGGGTACACAACAGTAGCCCTTGCAAGAAAGGGACCAAGTTCCCGCAACAAATCCAAGGCCAGGTCTCGAAAAGCAATGGCCAATTTTTATTCCCCTACAACGACAACATCAGCAACATGAAGACCATCACCAACACCAGCACAGCACCAACAACAGCACCAAACCAGCACCGCAACAACGACGACGGCGGCAACGACAACGACACCATTATATACCACCACCACCACCAAGAAGAAGAAGGAGGAGGAGAAGAAGAAGAAGAAGAAGAAGAAGAAGAAGCAGAAGCAGAAGCAGGAATAGCAAAAACCAACCAGGAGCAACAACAACGCCAGCCACAACAAATCACAAGCAAAACAACAAGTACAGGCACCGGTGTCAGGTGCACCCCTTTGCCTGTGCCTTTACACCCCCCCTCCTCTACCTGTACATGCACTGCGGCAACAGCACCAACGTCGCCACCGCCACCAACCACCACCACCACCACCAACAGCGACAAAAGCCAAAAGCAACAGCAGCAACGTGATGTTTTATGTACCTTCACAGGTCATGACCCTTGCCTTCTTGCCTTTGCCAGGCTGTGGCGATGTTGTGCCATGCGGCGGAGGTTGCAAAATCCTCAGCCGGGGTCCCCAGGCACTTCCTTCTCAGCCCCAACGGTTAGGTTGTTCTTGCTGCTCGGTGCGAGCAACGGAAATGGTGGGCCCCCCAAAATGGTTGGTTTCCATTTGGTTTCCTTTAAACCAGCCCCAAAAAGGGTACCCTCAAAAAAGACTCTCGCATATCTATATATATATATATATTGTTAAAACCCTCCAGGCCCCGTGCCGAAATTGGGTAACTGTTCTGAGGTCCTTGTTGGTGTTGCTTCCCAAGTTCCATTGATCGCCATTTGGCTCAAGACACAATTGAGGTTCAAGATCTGATGTGTGACTGCATACCTACGTGATCGGCATTAAGAGCGAAAACAACTGCTTGCGCTGCATTGGTCAGGACCACTGTTGTAACTATCATTCCTTCTCCCTTACAACGTTTACACGGGTTCGGCTATAACGGCATCGTCCGTATACACCTTTCTACGTGGTTGGTATTACAGCTTGAGGGTTCGGTGCATAGCGTCCCACGGGACGTCACCTTGCCGTCTCTTGACAGGTTATCAGCCGTAACTACAAGCTCTACACTGGACTGGGAGACAGCTGGTTTATTGCGGGTACAGGGACAATAAAGGAACGATAACCTACACAGTACAATGGCGTCTTCGGCGAGCCCAAGTACTGCAACTTTTGGGAACAGCAGCTCAGAGGGATCCAATGGATTGATGGCTCTTCCTGCGGTGATGGATATGGTTGCAGATTCACAGGATGAACCTGGGAGCGGAGGTTCCGCGCTATTCAGCGACATATCTACTCCCACAAGATCATGGAAGCAGATCGATGTTCATCAGGAGTCGAAGAAAAGAGAATCCCCACCGAGAAGATCATCATCTTCGCCTGCGACACCACGGACGTCGCAGAAGGGCGTGAGATCGACATCGAAGGGTGGGAGGTCAAAATCACCCACCAGTGCAGATTTTCGCGCCGTGATCAAAGAGAAGAATAAGATGGAGGTGGAGATCGGGGAATATCAGAAGACACTTGATGAAATGTCGGCAGCAATGGCGAATCTTAACCAAGAAGACTATGGAAGCACCATCCGGATCCAGGAGCTGGAAAGACGATGCGAGATTGCCAGCAAGCAGTCGGGACATCTAGTGAGTCACCACCAACACCACATGGCTGAGGCATGGCGCAAGTTTGAGGAAGAAGCCCAACAGATGCGCAAGGTGGAAATGAACGCATTTCAGTACGGGGAGAAGAAAGACATGGAGTCGAATATTATAATGCAACAGATGAGGCAAGCTGAAGGAACTATCATGGAGCAGAAGCGGGAGATTGCATTGATGAAATCCTACATGGCAAGCGAGAAGTCGGCCGCGCAGGAATCAGCTATACGTGCAAATCAGATACACCGTGAGGCTTCACAACAGATATCAGTTTATCAGCAACAGATCAGAGGCATAGAATCTTCTACATCTATCGAGAAGTTCAACGAGGAGGAGATGGTCCAAAGTCTGAAATCACAGTTGGAGCATGCACTCGTCAAGCGCCCCGAGACGTACTCTTTGGAGGACTCCAGGGAACAGCTGATGGCGAGGCTGAATGACGTTACAGTATTTGCGGAACAGGAATCGAAGAGAGCAGATTGCTTGCTTCGCGAAAAAGAAGAGATCGTCAAACAGTATGAGTCCGACGTGTCGATGAAGGACCAGATGATTGCTGTCGAAGGTGGTCATCGTCAGGATGCGATCTTGGAGTTAGCCCAGGTCAAAGAAGAGAAACAAGAGGAACGGTGCACGATGGACGAGAAGTCGAAGGAGGCTGAGTACTGGAGATTGACAGCTAAGGGAATGTACGATGAGTACCTCGAGGAGATGCATGAGCTTCAGAGACAACTGAAAGAAAGAGAGGCGACGCTCAAGCAAGAAGAGAGTTTTGTACGCCAACTCGATGCTGACAACGAGGAACTACGTGCACACAAGAAGCTGGAGACACAGGAAGCCTCCAGCAGCAAAGATGGACATCGTGAACGAGCAGTAGTGAAACGCGCTGAGGGAGGAACCCAGGCTAATTCAAATAGGATAGACAAGAAGGTGGCTGGGTCAGTCCCGTCATCGTCTTCAAATCAAATCCCTAATTCGTCGCTGATGCCAGGTTCGATCCTCTTTCCGTCTTTCGGTGATCCAATGATCGATGTACACCTATCCCAGATGCAAGGGGTTGTTGGGCATGTCCCACAATCCACTACTACGACTGGTGGTGGTGATGGGGGGGGAAACAACGGTACTACGCCCCCATTGGATTACGGTGGATTCCCGCCCAATGGGAATGGGCAGGGAGCGGGTCGACGTCAGTTGAGCCTCGCTGGTGGCGGAGGAGGACCTCCGGATGATCCACCCGATGATGAGGATGAGGATGACGACGACGAAGGAGATGAGGAAGACGAGGAAGAAGAAGAGGAAGAAGACGATCGGACACGGAGGAGACGAAGGAGATCGAGAGATAACCGAGAGATCAAGAATGATCGACCGAGAATCTCGAGGAAAGAGGCCGAGAGAGTATCTATTCCGGCCTGGCCAAAGATCCATCAACTTGACACCTGGAAGATGCAACTGCTGATGAATGTTCTGAGCGCATGTGCAGATCCAGATACCGACGCATGGACGAAATGGCTGGAGCAGGCTCTTGGGTTGAACCCAGACCTGGATTTGCTTAGCGATTCAGGTGGCGACAGATTTGCTACGATAGATATTAAGATGGCCATGGGCATGCAGAACATGCTGAAACAAGCACCTGACGAAGCCAAGGACGTATACCTCGATGCTACACGACACTCTGAACTACGACATCAACAAGGGGTGATCGTGAAGGGACGAGAGTTGGTGGCATTAGTTATGCAATCATTCAGAACTTCCGATAGAACGGATCTTGTCTACCACATCGAGCATTTATTCAACCTTGACTTTCCTGGCGACAAGAACTTGGTCATGTTCAGGAACAAATGGTATGATTTGCTGCTGAAGATGAGGAGCGAGGACAGACCCAGTAAGCTGGCTCTCAGAGACATCCTTTACAGGAAGATCAAAGGGAGCAAGAAGATGGAGTTCGGCCTCAATGCCTACCATAGACTACCGGACAAGCATCCTCAGAAGACGTATGAATTCTTATTGGCGTTGATCGACTATCAGATCAAGGCAGATCGGGAAGACCTGATGCTCGACATGAAGGAGAAATCGGTCAAGTCGATGATGAAGTCAGGCGGGAAGGATGCGGCTCCAGCAACTGGCAAACAGGAGAACCAGGGTGGCAAGGGCAGAAAGGGGAAACCCGGTGGACCTGATGCCGCTCCTGTGCTCCCAAAAGCCAAGGCAAAGGGCCACGCTGGCAAGAACGGCAAGTCCGACGGTGCCAGCGACAGAGGCAAGAGTCCGGGCGGAAGCAAGGATAACCCCTGCTGGTACCACTTCAAATCGGCGAAGGGGTGCGTGAAAGGGAATGAATGCACTTTTTCCCACAGCAAGAAGACGGAGCACAAGTTGGAGAGTATGTCCAAGGGGAAAGGAAAGGGCAAATCCAAGTCCAGATCATCGTCACCAAAGAGAGATGATGGAGCATGCTTCGCGTTTCAGAAGGGGAAGTGCGATAAGGGAAGCGCTTGCAAGTATAGGCATGAGCTCATCAAGAACAATTCAGCTCCAGCAACGTCAAATGACAAGGCGCAAGCCAAGTCGAAGGCTGCCGCCAAAGCCGCAGCGCCTGCCATTGCGAGGAGGGCCATCGCAATGCCCGCGATAGTCCTGAAGCAATCGGCTCCTGCAGGGAAGGTAAGCTTCAAGAAGGACGTTGATCAGGTCGAACCGGACGAAGCCGAGACTGTCTACCACGAGCACGATGACGACGCGATGAGCGAATCATCGAGATGGTCTGGCGAGTCCGAGATCCCCGAGAAAATGGTGTGGTTCAAGGAAGTGCTCGACGTCGACGAGAATGGGGAGATCACCTACCTCGAAGACGAGAGAAGGCAATGGGAACGAAAAGGGGAATGGTACGGTTATGAGGACAATGAGAATGAGCCTTATCAGTACGTGTACGTCGACGAGAAGAAGTTCAAAAGCAGTGATCATCGTGAATTATCAGCCTATCAAGTCCAACGATCATTGATACGTGCGAAGATACTGAGAGAAGTGGTGGATGATGTATATAAGAAGCACTACTTCCCGGTGACCAAGGAGAGCAGCATAATGTTCGAGTATGATCGGAACAAGGACGAGATCAAGGAATCGGCTGTCGACTGGAAGAAGCAGCATGGTATGCCGAAGAACGTTTTCGCCATGTCAACGTGCATCAGCAAACGGGTGAAATGGTTGATGGACACCGGATGTGGTCATGATCTCATTGGAAGAGCCAAGGCGAAGAGCCTGGGTGTCGACATCGTGAAAGATGACGACGAGATCGTGTTCCAGACCGCGAATGGTTCCACTTCCACATCTGATGTGGCCAAGATAGTCGTGGACGAGTTGGACGAGACTGTCGAGCCGCATGTATTGGATGAGACACCCACGGTATTGTCAGTGGGGAGGAGATGCATGAAGATGGGTTATGCATTTCACTGGATGCCTGGTAAACTACCTTTCATGGTTACGCCAAAGCAGGGATTCGTGCACTTGCAGGTCAAGGACGACATCCCGTACCTAGTGAGTGATGGTAAACTTCGGAGTAACAGGCATCGCCCTACGATAGACGACCTCAAGGAGCACTTTTCGGAAGTATTGGCGATGGTAACGAACGACGAGGCAGATCAGGGAGGTGACGATGAGAACGACGTCACACCCGCCGCTGTCGGTGAGTCCGCAGAGGCCGAGGGCGAACACCACGACGGGGCATTCGACTTCGGGCCACCCGGAGGAGCCGGTCCGGTACGTCCGCCTCCCGTGGCTGAGGAAATACCTGTAGATGTTGGGTCAGTCCCGCATCGACATGGTGATGCCGAAGCTCACGAGGAAGAGGTTGATGAAGATGATCCAGA